CCTCTAGTCTTACACTGCTAAATTAGGGACGGCTAGCGCAGATAGCCCTCGTGTAGCTTTGCGCGAAATTCAAAAACAAAACACAAAAACTAAGAGTTTCTGTTCTATTCACATGGAGGGATGTCATTAATTTCCATTAGAGTGACTATTTATTTTTACTATTTTAATATCAGCTACAATTTATATACAGGGTGACCAGAAGTTCTCTGTTGAGTCAGCGGCAGGTTTACGGACTTACAATGCTGAAACCCGGGATCCGATTCCTCATGGTGGACAGAGCAAAGATAACCCACTGTGTAGGTGTGCGCTACATAAATAACAACAATTAGATGTCCAGAAAGTATAAAGCGCAAGCTGTACAAAACAACGTTTCTGACTCTCTTTTTTTTTTAAACACAATTAAATCTATAAGAATGATTTGTTATGGGTAAATTGAGTAACTATTTTTCAATTTTAAAATGTTATTGAAAAGTTTTATTATAACAGAATAACACTTATTCGATTAAGAGAAACCTAGATTCAAAACGCTCAGAACCACATCTTCTATACATAATCACAGTCTTTGAAATAATTTGCTTTATTATCGGCCCCCCAGTGGCACAGCGGTATGTCTGCGGACTTACAACGCTAGAAACCGGGTTTCGATACCCGTGGTGGGCAGAGCACAGATAGCCCTTGTGTAGCTTTGTGCATAATTAAAAACAAACTTTATTATCGTTCAACGACTGTACTTGTTAGCAAGGGAACACCCGATAGCGTAAGTGTTAACTAAAACGAAAGTCAGGTTCAAACAAAATCCCGAATAAGCCATTTCACTATCAAATAAAACTTACGAAAATGTTTACTTTCCTTCTGCGAAATAATTTTACTTAGAAATAGGAAAATGTTTCATTAGCCTTACACAGTGCTGTAGCCACGAGGGCGCGAAAGAGCGCAATGCGCCCTCTCATAACAAAAATGCGCCCTCTAAAAATCTGCCTAAAAAAATAAAATAATGTTTCTTTTTACTTTTTTCGAACTTAAATAATTTTTTCGAACTCGAAGTTGTTTTACAGTTTTACGGCGATTACAGTTGTTTTAATAACAAAATTTGGACTTGGTTTACAGTGATTTAATTAATTACAAGGGTCCAATCAATTTTCCCTAAGATTGACTCGTGCCTTCTGTTTTGATTAACCTACCAGTTCATATCTAACTCAAGCTCTTGTTGTCGGATATCAAAGATTTTTTTTCATGAGTGAATTTGTTTATGAATTAACAAGGAACATCAATAATTGATAACAAAAATTTATAACGAAAACTGAAAATGATTACAATGTACTCGCGCCACTGGCCTTACAACTTCATTCCTTGAGTAAGTTGACTTATTTGTGTAAATAAATAACACCCTGATTGTATGTAATACTTAAATGGAGAATCGTTTTTTCGACACTAGCATTGAGGATCATACACAGTGGTAATACCGAAAATCATGTTCAACAACGCGACTAACATCAAAAGTTGCGTTCACTATTATTATCGAGAAATATTGAGTAGAGTGTTTATTACTAACACCAAAAATTATCTCAGATACTATTATTGAGGATCGTACTTAGCACTAATATTTAGAAGAAAGTTTATTACTAACATCGAAAATCGTGTTTAAAACTAGCATAGCAATTTATTTTAAATGTTAAGGCTAACAAAAAAGTTTAACACTAACACAGAAAATTATCTTTAAAGCTAGCATTGTCAAGTGTAATTTTCATTTCTAATATTTCAAAAAGTTCAACAGGCACTTATATTGAGAAGGAAGTTCAATACTAACACCGAAAATTATGTATAAACTAAGATTAAGAATAATTTTCAAATCTAAGATTTAAAATTTAAAACAGTATGTTCAACACATTTATTGAGAAGAATATGTAACAGTGACACTGAGAACCTTGTTGAAACATCATATTAACAACCATGGTCAGCATCGCTTAAACCGACATAACACTAGTATTTTCAAATATTAATATGTATCGCTAAGGGATACAAATCATTTAATATTCATCGTTAATCCCCTAAACAACTCAAGAAGAATCGGTCTAATGTACAATATTATGGTATATTTTCACATAAAGCAAGGAAAATTATGTGTAATAACTATGCACGCGGAAATTTAAAAATGACACGTTATGATCAAATATTATTCCCACTTGGGCTGCTAATGAAACATCAGCTTATATAGCTTTTCGAACTGTTAGCAAGAAGCACAGAAGTCCGCCACTGCATTAAAACTGTTCGCCAACTTTAATTTTGGTTAATAACGTTCTATCTGTATTACTACATACATAAAAAATCGTCCTCAAACAGTACGTTAGTCTTTAGTCTATATAATGTTACGTGTCTGTGTACGTATATATATATATATACATGAGCAGCTATTACCCATAAAACACATAAACTATGTTTTCAATAAACGTAGTGTCTTTTAATTTTATACCTTTATCGTTTGTTAGTACAATAAGTTTCTACCATCTATACTATTTAATTTGTCGAAAGCGTGCGTCTTTACCGTCACGAATGAATGTAGATTCAATTCTGAAA